GGGGCCCCGCTCTGCCCCTCTCCCTGAAGGCAGAGGGGGCTCCGAGTGCAAAATATGACTCTCGACCCTATATTTTTCTATTGTTTTGAGGCGGTGGATCAATTGTCATCAGTACTGTCACCTAAGAAGCAATGATTCCAATTCATCTTGGCATCTGATTTTATTCTAATGGGTTAAATTGGGTTCACTTTTACAATTATCCCAGGTTTGACTGCGTAGTATTGCATGACAACTCACAGTTTCATCGGGTTTGGCAAAGCGAGGTTGCTCCATGAATCCGTATATCATATCACATCAGATCAGGCTGAAGTTTGCTGTTTAGCGACTCCATTTGAGAGGCTTTTTATGAAAGTGGGAAGGGTTGATACAGTCCATGGCTGGTTCAGTACGATTTGAAAAAAAATGTGTAGGGATGGCAACAACACGGGGTTTGCTGCTCAGCTGTGAATAAGCACAGAACGAAAAAAATGACATGATGGGGAAACGCTCAGCTCACTACAATATTTTTAGCAGCCTCCCAGTCCTCGCCTTTTTTTAATTTCCTAATATGTTCTTTGCTTTATTAGTTTTATTTACAACCAGCTCCCCATTAACACCTCACCTGATTACTGAGGAGCTGAGACAGCTAATCAAGAAAATCCAGCAAACCAGCTAACATTGAGAGGTGGGATTTATTTTTGTTTTTCTTCATTCTTTTTTATCTATTTGGTTTGTTTTGAAAAATAGTTTGAAGCTCAACAGAAAATAAAAGGCAGGTATGAGAGCATATTGGTGAAAGGTCAGAGGTTAAAAATTAACGTCAATCCTATATTAGAGGCTATGTAGTGGGGGGATAGAGAGAGAGAAGGAAAAAAAAATCTTTCCACCAAGCAGCTTGTTTATTTTAATTAACATAGGGATTCTCTGCTAGGAACAAGGAACAACCTCCATCTACTGGCTAGATCATTGCGTCTCTTCTCCATCCAAAACCCATCCCTCATCACTCATTAAGGAGGGTACAGTTTTGGAAGAAGCTTCTAAGGTCTCAAGGTAAGATCCTGCATGAGCCTTTGCTAACAATACAGCTATTTAGACCTCACGGATGTCATTTGCTTGGTGTTTCTTTGGCGTGCTGGGTTTTTTTTTAAACAACACAGAATGGTCGTTTCCCCAGGTGTATTCGCAGACAACATTTGGTGCATGTGTGTTTCAATCTAGGAAAAAAGCAGCCTGGGAAGGCTGAGCCATTCTGCTTAATAAAAGAGAGGCCGTGTTCTTTCTTTTCTTTTTTTCTTTCTTTCGTTCCTTTTCTCTCTCTCTCTCTCTCTCTCTTTTTTTTTATATGTATATTTTAATGGAATGACTCCTTTCACCTGCCGATGAACATAGGCGTTCCAAAATCAGCAAAATATGATAATTTCCAATGGCTTAATTACAACCGGAGTGCAAATAGAATTAAGGTTAATAACAGACAACTAACAAGCTAACATTGCTGAGCTTCGCCGCCGTGAGCACAATTTCATGTTAGACAATAATCTTGCTCTCTTCCTTTCGTCTGGCTGCCTGGGTACTTGTTTATGGTTAGTCGAAGCGCTTGGCTATGGAGATGTGTCTCTAGGATTGCTATGCAAAGCATCTAGTTGTTTATTATTTAAACATCCTCTCCTTAAGCAAATGAGTACGTGGCTCAATTTACACGTTTTCAGATTACCGGGAGGTACAAGCGCTTTGGAGTTATTTATTTATTTATTTATTCGATAGTGCTTATGATTAAAGATATTCTGCACTTGTGTTACCCCATAGCGCGAGCCACTGCACAGCCCGTCTCGGCAAGAGAGACTGATGTTTGAATCCGCGTTGCGATGCGTCGACTTTCTGATTTCCGTAATAAAATAATCCGAAAGTTGTCTACAGTACAACCGTGAGGACTCGAGAAAGGAAAAGGGTGGTGATGATACTAGATGTTGTTTCTGACACCAGAGAGGAATTTTAAACAATATCGGGCTTTTTTCTTTTCTAATGCAATCAGTGTAAACGCTGCAAACACTAGCTACGTTTGATGCCACCACAAGGAGATGTAATCCCATTCAAATTTTCTTTCTTTGTGTCTAGAAGGCTCGTACTAGCCGCCGACTTCACAAAGAGATGAGACTGATCATTAGCAGCACTGTACTACATCACAAGCTCGCAGAGCAGAAAGTAACGTTAGGTTTTAAAAATAGACCTGGCTTTAACCACCCGACTCGCGGGCAACAGAATCGCAACACTTCTACTGTTATTACTATGTGCTTTAAATTTCTGGAAATGATTAAACTGGAAATCTCTTGGAAGTTCAGTTACCTTCGGGAGACAGTGTGAAGTTTCGGTGCTGTGGTCAGCAGCTGACCCCCGCGCAGCTCTCCGGCGCAGCGCCGGGCAGCCCGGACCCCCCTTCCGTCTACCATGACCTCAAAATAAGCAAACGCCTGATACAAGATAGACTAAACCAAAACCATTTCTGCTTAAACAACTCCCTCTTCCACCCTCCCCGCCCGAATACCCTCCTCTTTCTCCTAATTATTGTTGGTCAATTATTAATTTGCATGTAGACCTTGTCCTAAATCCTCAGAACTAAATACAAGATCCGTTCACGCTGTAATAGGCTTTAGACTGTAGCCCGTGGCCAAGAAGAACAAGGGCTCTATAGCAAAGCGGATCCGAGTGACCGCAAGCATGAAATCTGTCCAGGGCACATGCTAATTACGAAGGTGGAAATGGCTTCAGCAGTCGCATGGAAAGCTCAGGGCAAGCGCTACAGCCGAGGCACGGGTTGTGGTTGGAGACCGCTGCAGACCGGCTTGTTCAGTGGCGGCACACGGGCAAACACTTAACCTGCGCTAATCTCAATAGCGATACACTCCTGCTCATTCCCATTAGTCTGGGAAGTGTGGGCAAAGGCTGTGTGCATCCCTAAAGAAAGGAAACCCCCTGAAACCGCCTGTCACGTTATTAGAGTATTCTGAATATTATGCATCAGATAGCCTTCCTAAAGTGCTGCGGCAAAAGGCGGTAAAAGCACTCTGCAATGAGCAAGCGAATTCAGAAGACGAAATGCTAGTGCAAATCGATTCATATGGGACAAACTCTTAGAACTGGATTTTAGATCCCCTATTTTGTTCTTTGTGAGCTTTTCTCTCCCCCTCCCAAGTAAACCAGCAAAACTATATAAAGACTCTCGTACTATAATGGCAACCTATCGCTACCAGTCTGCCTTAGAGCAGAGTTACAATTTACAGCAAGGAACGAGAGCTCAGTAGCACTGAAATAGATTTACCTTGATCTACTACAGGCCTTTTGGAAATGGAGAAGTCATGTTTGATGTTAGCAACAAACTTTTAGTGTCCCTTCAGGTAAGAAGCGGTCTGCCAACATTAGGATGCTAATCAGAAAACGCCTAAGAAAGCCCTGGCCTCCTGTGCTGTAGCAGCGGTAGCTAGTAGCGTATCCTTAACAGTAGCTGATGGAGCAGAAAGAAAGGACCCTCTAATTAATTAAGTGTGCCCAACTGGAGGAGTTGTAGTCATTTCTGAGTTTTGTTACGAGTCTGCCCAATTATTCCTAACGGCGCCCACCGAGCTATGACAGAGATGGAAATTTAACAAACAATATTTTCGATGTCTCTCAAGCCGCCCCGGCTCGGCCCGACGCTTTGCCGCTGCACCTGCAGATCTGCCGGCGCCCGGGAGGGTGACGAGGCGGCTGAGGGGGGC